TGCGTCACCGCCTGCGCAACCACGTGGTCACATCAGCAGGGAGGTGTACGGCACCAACACGGGCTGGATGGTGGAATGAGGGATGTCCAATTTCATTGGGTAGGCAAGTGGTGAAATGAGACCTGTTAGAATTGAATGAGTCCTGAATACCACATCACATGATCTTGCTATCATACACAGCCTACAATTATCTCAAGGCTCCTTGCATCAACTGCCATCACAGGAGTAGAATATATCGCAACAGGGCGTGATGAATCTAGGCAGCGATTTTCGTGATTTCATGGCATCTGATTGGACAAAATTGGACAATTTTGAATTCGCAAGGTGACCTGCCTTGCGAATTCCAAAAAGAGACAGACACATGAAAAATAAAAATCATCAATACAAACTTGAAGATATATTTAATTGAAACTATACGATTTCAGAATTATTTATGGAATTCGCAAGGTGGTTCACGTTGCGCTGCATACAAAATTGCCTACTAGTATTTACCTTGCATTTTCTGGTTAATGTACGTTAAATAATAAAACCTCCACTCTTCGATTTGGCCGGGTGGAAGTTTTTTTAGATGACGTGCATCATATGCATAAAAATAGGTGAAGATCTGAGAACAATCCTCTAATAATCCATACCAGTACATACTGTACTGTACTGTATTATCAGAAGCACCCTCCCACCTGTAAACGACGGAGGTTCGTGCTGACGAGGTGAGTAACCCATATCATCTAGGTCCAATCAGTCGCGCGTGCTCTTGTCACAGAAAATTGTCCCCCCTCACGCGGCATATGTCGCATAATAAGTGTCAACCATTAAAATTTACACACGTCGCACATTACCTGCTTCTTCATTATTCAATTCGCTCAGTAGGTCTATGAAAGTGTTCGGTTTGCTTGCCTTGCTGGCCGCATTGTCGTTGGTGGCATCCGCACCGCCCCCCATTTTTCTCCGCCAAGACGATCACGTGGTCATTGTGGGCGGGGGGCCTGCGGGCGTCCACTACGCGTCACTTTTGGTCAAGAAAGGGCTCAAAAACGTCGTCCTTCTCGAAGCACTGGACCAAGTCGGGGGCAAGTCGCGCACCGAAATCGATCGCGACGGCATCCCCCACGAGTTGGGGACGTGCTTCCTCAACGGCGTCTACGGTCCCATCTTCGACTTGCTCAACGAGTACGACCCCACAAACGAAAAGTTTGTGTGGGCTTTGAACGCACCGGGATATGTCAAATTGTTGGGTGAAAGCATTGGGGCGACTGACGCCGACCCAGTGTCCAACTTGGACTACCCACACTACTACATTCGATCGATCGCGATGAACGCCCCGCCCGAGCTGCAGCGAAATGCCAGCGTCACCCAACTGCAAGACCTTGTTCGATTCCAAATTGGTCGGTACATTGGACTTCATTATGCCATCTTTGGCAAGTACTCGTACGGAGTTCCCCCTCCCCCCAAAGACTGGAGCCTCATCGACATGACGGCCTTGGAGTACCTCAAGAAAAACAACCTCACGGCGCTCGAAGCCGCGCTTCGGTTTTCACAGCAACAACAAGGCTACGGCGTGCTCGAGACAATCCCTGCGTTCTACATGCTGTGGTGGATGCACCCGGACCAATTTATCAAGAAAACCAACGTGTTTTCGCTGCGAAAGGGCTTTCAGAGACTGTGGACCGCGGTACACGCGGCGCACAAGAACCAGTACAAAACCATATTCCAAGCCAATGTCACCAGCGTATCCAGAGGCAACGAATGGAACAAGCCGCGCGTAACGTACCAAACTAAATGGGGGGACCTCAATACCATCGAGGCTGACCATGTGGTCATGGCTGTGGACTTGAGTTTGTACGCTGGTCTGGTGGAGGATCTGTCTGCCGAGGAGAAGCAGCTCTTCCAAGGGGGCGACTACACCGCGTCCGCGTTCTTGACGACCTTGTACGAGTCGGATGCGTCGCCTATCGAGACAGCCAGCGTCGGCTGGTTCGGTCGCATGCAAGAAAATGGACGGGTGTCGGCCGTGCGCAATTCCAAGCTCTCGTATTTGTTCACTAACTCGACGGACTGGGGCGACCTGGCCAAAGGACGTCAGACCAACCTGGCATATCAATACTACAGCCACCCATTGGACAAGGTAAACTCGACCGCGTCCAAGGCGCAGCTGGACGCCGACCTCAAGTTGGCTGGCATCAAGAACGTGGAAGTGACGACGCAGCTACACACCAACTACTTTCCGCGGTTCACCCCCGCGGGGCTCAAGAAGGGGTTGCTGTGGAAGATCTGGGACATCCAAGGCCAACGCAAGACGACGTGGATCGGCAGCAGCGTCAGCTTTGAGAGCGTGCTGGACGTGGTCGTGTACAACAACAACTTGATTCAGTATGTGAACGTGACTACTAACTAAGCTTAACGTGAATACATAAAGATGACTTGATTGTATTCACTGTCAATGTGCACCGCACCCCTTATTACAATAATGCAAAGGGGTTTCCAATACAGTACAGTATACAGGTAACGTTACTACAGTAGTAGTCTCCGAGTAATTACTACTGGTACTGTAGTCCTCAACGTTAGCTCTGGCATCCACCTAACGTTACCATGACATGTTGACGTTCGAAAGAAAGGTCATCATGCCGTGCATGATTACCCCCTGAGAGCATCTCCAACGGCGTTTTTATTTCTATTTCAATTCGAAGTTACGGATATAGAATAGAAACTCTTGCTCTATCCGGAGTTTTTGTTGCTACTACGTAGTATTTCACGAGAAAATAGAAATTCTGCGGGACGAAATTTCTAAAAAGTCCGGATAGTGCCAAATAGCAACCGTAAAAACGAAATTTGGCTTTAACCTATGCTGTAGCAATACAATACTAGTAGGTATATTCTAACTTAGAGCATCTCTACAACGGTAAATTCAGCAACAGACAAAGGTTCGGACTGGATGAAGGCTACATGTAGTTATGTACTGGAATATTCGTCGACTTATCATATTTCTCACATGCGTGTTGCATTATGTGACTGTTACTCGTAATGAGGGCGTTGCCGGAGGTGTGCGGGGGTGGCCCGTTGCTGGTCGTACTGAATCCTGGCACTTTGCGCCGCCAACTTGCCCACGACGTACACGCCACTGGCGGCCATGGCGTAAATGCCAACCAAGTAGGACGCGACGACGGCGACGGCCCCGAGGAGCGCGAGGCCGACAAACGCGGCGGCGCTGAGCGGGTCGGGGTTGTACGTGAACACCATCGAGACAAGAGACACCGTGAAGTAGAAGAGGCTGCCGATGAGGCCGAAGGTAAAGTTGATCAGCGCCACGAACGCCCAGTGGAAGATGAGGCTGATGATGTTTTCTTCTCGGGACTGGAGCACGGAAAACACCATTTGCCAAAACGTCTGCCGCGACGCAAATACCTTGCCTGGGATCAGGTGTGTCAGAGACGGGATCATACCGGTGGACTCGAAATCAGAGAGAGAGCGGTTACCAGATTCGAACGCGGCCCAGAATCGCGTGCGCGCTTCGTTCAACCCATAATCCGACCAGAGACCGACGTACGCTTTGGCTTCGCGCATCTTGGCTTCTCGAACATCCTCGAGATGATTGAGTTTCGCCCGCGCGTGGGTCGCCGCGGCTTGGCGCTCGTCCACCACGGCCTTGTGTTCCGGACGGAACCGCCAAAACCATACCTGGGCGTCGGCGACCGCTTCTTCTGCGTCCACGTACGCCGCATACGTCTCCTGGTAGTTCTCAATGTGCGCTGCATCCACCACCTTGGCTTCGTACACTTGCTTCATCTCGTCCGTGACGTGAATTGGCGCAGGTGCCCACAGCATCGCAAACACCCCAATGAGCCAAAACAACGTGAGCATGCGTACGCGGGGAGAAGCTGCTGCTTGCTTCACGAGCGACAGCACGATCGCGCCTTCGGAGGTGGACGCCGGCGCGTTCGACGGAGCGCGGGATACGAATACTTCATCGATCGGCACCGATCGTCGCGGATTCTGCATCGTATTGCGCTTGGAAATGGGACGAATGTTGATGAGTGTGGCTAGATCCGTATAAACCTGTAGCATTTAATATTCAAACTATCGGATAATTCTATAAAGATCGCAACAATGCCAATATTGGTTTCTCGTAACGATAAGTCAAATTGAAGCCCATCCTGAGAAGAAACCCTTAGCACATCAGAACATGGACAAAGGATGCCAACGCACGGATTATTATAACGTAGATTTCCAATTTAAGAGACATGGGACAATTAAAGGGACATCGGATTCAGCCAATCACCCACCTTGAAATTTGTGTAGAAATACCTCTTTAAATAAATGTTCTTCATGATCCCATGTGTTTTATATAAATCAATTAACCAATTGGCTCTATAAATACATAACCTGTTGAGGTTGCATATGTACCTGACAGAATATTATACCCTAATCACGAAAAATATATGCATGGATCAATACTACGATCAAGCTTAAAATATGTCTCTTAAATTGTCCCCTACTTTTAAGGTGTTTCTGCTTAGAAAATGGGACATTAGGACATGATAGATACTATGAAAATAGATGTTTCAGTGCTTGTTGGAAATACCTTTAATTATCAGTTTTCAGAAGTCGAAACCCATTCCTCAGTGCTGAGGTGCTTCCATTTCCCGGCAGCGAATGGCTCAGATAGTACCATCAAGTTGTAGAACACTGTATGTGCGAATGCCTAACGTAGATTTCCAATTTAAGAGACATATTTTGGAGCCATTTAACATTATTGAACCATCACATTATCAATGACGATACTTTCAATATTCTATCGATACATGACAAAACGCTATGGTGTCGACGGACTTTGGTCTTGTTGCGTCTTTAGCGTGTTGTTGCACCAACTCATGGCATTTAATTTGGCCTCCGCTATATCCCCAGTTGACCGAATCCGGGGCCTTCACTGGGGCATATTTCATGCAATGTAGTGACGTTGATCACTTCTTTCCCATCGAGGAAAGTTTAGTACGACTCGTAGATACCAGGAGGCGCGTGGTGATTCGTTGGTACTAGTACATTAGTATGCAGTGACGTTTCGACTTTGTTGATGTGGCCGAGACATACCGTACAGTCCGTGTACAATTTGACGACAAGGACTGTGAAACCGCTGAGGCGTTTCATGCCAAAAGTAGCTTGTTGCTTTCACTTGGGAAGCTGCTGCCGCCGCTGACTTGGGCACAAATCCCCACACCAATCGGTCCATGGAGCCCGTTACCCTCAAGTTTCTCTTTGCAAACAAGGAGGGGGTGAAGATTACATTGGCTTCGACGCGCGACAAGCATGTATCGGATGTGAAGCAGCAGCTCTTGGCAGTGTGGCCTGCAGGTAGTTTAATGCGTGCCGTGTCGACGGTTGGTTGTCATGGTGTGTCTAGATTTGGCCAAACCAGAGTCGCTCACCAGCATTCGGCTCATTTGCATGGGGCTGGGGGTGCTCCAAGATACCAAGACCCTCGTGGAGTGCAAAGTGCCCATCTTCCCAGGCCACCCCACCCCCGTCAACGTCTCCATCTTACCCCCCAAATCTGAAACTCAAGGTACATGTGTATCAAGTTGTCGACAATGCTCCTGTGAAATGGCTGGCTAACACTCACTTGTAGCACTCATTGCGTCACACGACAACGCTTCCCGTATCGTACCTGCCAACCTCAGTTGCTGGTGCACAATATCATAAAATCCACGACCCCACTCCTGCCATCGAATGCAATCTTCTACAATTACCATCGGAATGCCCACTAAATCGAGCATGTGAAGCCAATGACGAACACCGTGGTTAGGTCGACTAGGAATTTTGTATCAGCATATGTGCGGCGTAGTATATTGCAGAAGGCAGTGTTAATTCCTACTGACTCAACCATGACCGCGAACATCGGAACGTACCGGTGGATGGCGGCGCCAGAGGTGCTCATGGACAATTACTACTCGGAACTGGTGGATTTGTTCAGTCTTTTAGGCGTGATTCTACGGAAATGGTGCCGTACTCGGACTTGCGCAACGGCGCCGGTAGAGATCATGATTGATTCGCTTCCATTTCTAGGTCAATTCTCATCCATTTTTCGTTTGGGTCCAAAGTAATTAAAACGTAGAAATTCTACGACTACATAGTATTCGTCGAATTCAAAGTCGCTCATATATCGCCAACGTTGTACAGTATTATGCAGTAGTCAATTCTGACATGTATCCCTCAACTAGTGCACCAATGCTACATATGTGAATTCTTCTTGACACTGGAAGCTTGAAGTCACCTAATTTTGCATAAGCTTATTAAACTATAGATGATGTACATACTGCACAGTGCCATTCCAGGTCACTCGTCAGCTCATCTACCATAGTAGAGTATGCATGGTAATACAGTACAGTATTGTACATGTGATGCATTGTACAAGTGGAGACACGATCACCTCCGTTATGACCCGCCAATCTCTTCAACCTGGCAACTTTTGAAGTGGATGAGGTGCCACTGACCGATGATGTACCCACGCATGAGACGTTTGAATAGTGTGAATTGCGAGAAGGATTGTGTCGACAGGTAGTAAACTGAAAAGGAATCTATCGACACTCCAAGGTATATATTACAGTACTATGAATAGTGTACGGCTAATATAGATCATACGCTTATAAGTACAGTGTCTGTCGCAGCAGCAAAAGCCAGCGACTACTCCGTTAAACTCTCAAATCGTTGCTTTGGTCGTGTTATTAACAAGTACATTAGACTTTTCTTGCGTCGTCGTCGTCCCCACTAGCAAAACGGCTGCTGGCAAATCGGGCACTTGTTTTTGCTCGACTGGTTGAACCACTTGTACAAGCACGAGTTGTGATACTTGTTGGAGCATGTGCGACACTGTAGGTTGGGCAGGCCCATGGTCTTTGGGTTCAGGATCGAAAAGCAGATCGGGCACGGCTCAACCCCGTCAAACTCCTTGTCCACGTTGGACTTCCACAGCATCACAGCGTCCAGAAGTGAACCATCCTGCGACGTTGTAACTTTGAGAATCTGGAGCACCCACCGGCGCCACCGTTCTTCGGAGATTCCGATGCGCTTGGTGCATTCCACCTCGACGCTGCGCAGCGGGTACGACGACGGCACCCGGATCACCATTTCCAACGTGCATTCATCCTTGAGGTATGTCGTCGTGATTTCCCGCGATACTTTGCTACCTCGCACGGTCATCTCCCTACAACAATGGTGGTTCAAAGAAGCATGAATACAATATATATATATATAGGTTCCCCCCTTTATGTTGATAGCAATGTATATATATACTATGAATTTGCTACAAAGTTGCTCATTCGCAGCACTATTCGTAAAACCAATCATCCCACATGATCTCGCCGCGGAATATTTCATTGGCGTTAACAATTACGCAGAAAGCACAAAGTAACATGAGAAAATCAGGTAGCCAATCAGCGAAAAGGGAATTTCAGAGTAACCAATCAATGGGACCAGCGAGTCGTGATTGATTTTTGAACGGGGTCCGAACCAAAACAATGATATATATATATATATATATATTCGGTAATACACGTCCATATATATATATATATATATATATATGTATATATATATATATATGGACGTGTATCACCGAATAAACACAAATATCAATAGCCCATGAACTCCTGTGATCAAACATAATGTATTGAGCAAAAGTGACCCATGGTTATGCAAGATCATAAGACGTACTCTGCATCCCATAATTCCTTGTCCACAGCCGCGTGGATTGCTTGGATTTCATCGAGCAACATCAGGGGCGACACCGTCTACAAAAAACACGACAAGGTATAGAACCCATAGTTTTTGTTCGTTTAGCCATCGAACGGCCTCTCTCTCTCTCTATATATATATATATATATATATAATAAGCTCCAAACAAAACCAAGCAACCATAGGATCATACGACATCCTCATACCTCTTCGCAAAATTTAGACACCCACGTGCGCGCACTTCGAGAGCAGTCGTCGTTCCACCACAGCCGCACCATCGTGGGAAGTTTGACCACTGTCTTGTAAAACACGGCGCCTGCCAGCGTCTCCACAAATTCGTTCGTAAACGTGTGGTCGCCAAGGGTCGCCAGCGTCGGGAACGCCGCGTCCACCGCTTCCACCGACGTGAGCTGGACCTTGGACGACTGAATGAATGGTCCACAGAGACTGAGCACGGGATTCAGCAGGTTGTGTCTGGCCACGTACGCACCCAGTGCCGACGTCACGAGCGGACTCGAGCTGTCGGGGAACATGCGAAGGAAGAGGTCCCACACCAAGAGGCGGCCGAGCGCAGGCGGCGCCTTAACGGCCGAATGCAAAGTCGCGAGGGCGAGGGCTAGCCCGGGGGAGATGAGCAGATCAGCTAGCATCGCGTCGGTGGCGGCTTCGTCGTCGCCGTCCACATCCACCAACTCTGAGGGCAAGGTCACGGCGAGGTTGGTGAGACGAAGGAGTTGGTACAACGCGGCTTGGAGCGTCGGGTGGGTAATCGTCTCGCTGAGGGCATGCCAGAGCAGATCGCGGCCTTTCGCAACCGTCAAGATCACACGGGCGACTTGGTCGGGGTCCAGCTCGACAAACTCCAGCACGTCATGGAGGCCCATGAGACTGGTGGTCAGCGCTTGCTCCACGGAGTACGTGTGCTCGACCAGCGACCACATGGAGGCAGCCGCCGTTGCTTCTGTACAAGTGGCCGCCAAAGCAAACGCAACGTGCAACTGAGGCTTCAAGTGCAAACTGTCGACAATCGTGCGAAGGCAGACCAGCGTCAGCGCGTCGCGATGGGGCCGCGCGAGCTCGATGCTTGAATGGTCTTGGCCATGACGAGCCAACGCTTGCACCAGTTGCACGAGCAACTGCCGACTCGTGAGCAGCTGCGGATGGACGTCGCGCAACGCATCGATCGACTCGATAGCCGTCGCGTGTACTTTGACAGCAACTAGCTCCGACACGTCTTGCTTGGCGGCGAACGCGTGCACGATAAGCAGCTTTGCCACAGCAATCAACTCTGTCGACACGTTCATTGATTTTTGGTGCAAACTGGCCAGAATAAAGCGACCGAGGGCCAACCATTCAGCCACCAACACGACCGACGACGGTGCTTTCAACCGAGTGCCAACCAACCCGACCAAATCGGCCTGCAAAGTGGACAACTCGGGCGAGTCGCGCTGCAAAGTCGTCGTTAGAAGCGGCAGCAGGAGCGTGATCTGGTCCAACGCATCGAGTTCCGTGGTTGGATTGTTCGTCCACAAAGTCACCGACGAGTGCAGCAAACTCGTCAGTGTCGTCCACGTGTTCTTGTCCTCTGCATCATCTTCAGACAGATTGTGGTCCAGTGCACATTGCACCAGCCGAGGCAACGCTACATGCAGAAACGCACGTGGAATGCACTCGATGAGCCGCGGTGTCGACGCTACAATCAAGTCACTAGACAAGTAATCGAGTCCGATTTCAAACAGCCAGCGTTGGAATTGGTGCGGAACACCAGATAAGCACCCGTCAGATACAGACGTGTCGACATGTGACAACAGAATCGATTGCAACCAGTGGACGTGGTGGGGCGACGCTGCTGCTGCTGCCACGTGGACAAGCGTTTCGACTAACAATGGACGGTCGCCCAGCGCTTCCAGCAACTCGGTGAGCACCAAGTACGGCTCGATCCACGTGCCAACATGTTGGCTAAGCACGGTCGGGTCAATGTCCACAGTGTACCAAGTCAACGCGAACGCAACGTCCACAAACATCCAATGGGACACTTGGTCAGGTGACCGGGTGTGGAGGTATCCGGTCGGGTCGTGCAGCAGGTGGCCGTGGTTCCAGTGACACAGTTCACCCACGATTTCCAGCACCCGATATGTTGGCTTAAACGTTGTGATGTTTGTCAACGGGAGATTATCCCAGTACGGTTTCGATTCGTCCAACACGAGCAATTCTGCGCACAGCACGGCCCACTGCCCGGCACTAGAGATATATATAAGAGATATTACATGTCAATATATATTGTGGATTCGGTACAGATTACTGTAGAGACCCTCATCGAATCGATCTCGCCGGTGAATAATCGACGCGATGGGCGAATTCAATTTTTGATTCGCTCTTACAGAAATGACTTTAAGTATATTCAACCAATCAGAAAACTCCACGCGTGATATTCCATATTGAGTAGACACACCACGTGACTTTTGGAAGTATTGTCAAGTCGATTCGAAATTGGAGTGTTTGGGTTCTCAATCGAATGAGCAGAATCACCAAATCAACAGACAATCGATCGACCAATCAAAACACAAAACACGAATCAAGTGGCCAATCAAATTTACTCATGGACCATTTCAACATCGATTTAGTGTTTGACTTCAATTAGTGTGACACTGGACGATTTTTTCATACAACAGTCAGTACAAACAATCGATCATCGACAGATTTGGCAAATCAGCACAAAAGTCCAACTTTTGGGTAAAAGGACAATATATAGACCATAACACTGAGTACTCCTTTTTGATTCTACTAGTGGAGCACAAAGTTCTACAGAAACGACGTGTACCTGCAGCCAGTTGTCGGGTGTGTGGTGGACACACTGTCTGGCTCGTACAATCGAACGAGGTGGTCAAACCAAGTGTCCAGGAGCATCGATTGATATGTCGGCGACCACGCAGTTTGAAACGACGGCCGAATCGTCGACTTCCACAGCGCCATCGCCACCGAGTGAAACGCAATGTTGGCCACGACAGCATCAACCAAACCCAGCACGTCCAGCCAGATGTCGTTGCTGTCCATTGCCACGAGCAACGGCAGCAACGATTCCAGCAACGTCCATACCTTGGGCGTCGCCCGGTGTTGGTGGCACCACGTGAGCACTTGGCGCACTGTCGCAGGGGATACGACGGGTTGCAAATTCCCCCAACAGGCCGTGAAAAAGGCCAAGTCACCATCCGTCCACGACGATGTCGCAGACGACTCCAACAGCATCGCTATCACACGCGTATCAAACCATTGGCTTTTCCAAATGGTCGCGTACACGATCAACGTTTCGTCGTCATCGATGGTGGCGTTGCTGGCAAACGACGCCTGCCATGACGCCAGCAACGAAGAAGTAGAAGGCAGAGGCAACGCCAGGTTTTTCCATAACCCCACAACGTCCGGTTGGCCGTCCCACTGGACTAGCAACTGGGGCCACAACACCCCCGGCGCCACTGGGGCAAAGTGCCTCCAGACACTAAAGTACGCTGTTTTGTCCAATATAGACGCATACGAAGGCGCGATATATTGGTGAAACGTCGCCAGACCCGCCATCACATTGGGGAACAGCGTCGAAATCCCCACGAGGTCGAGCAGTTGCCCAAGCCAGTGCAATGGCGTGGCAGCGTACACGGCACCTTGGGGAACCAACGCCCGGATTATGTCGAGGAGCGGTGCACCCAACACTTCGTCTTGAGTCCACAAAGAGGAAGGGCTGTTTGACAAGGCAGAGGACGACGCAACCTTGATGTGTACGCGCAATGTATCAAGCATCCTCGTATGCGCTGTCTCGTGATCGAGGGCTCGGGTGAGGGCAGCATGGAGGGCGCGATGGCACAGCGCAATGGCCAGCGTCGCCACGTCGTCGTCTTCTTGTCGGGCTGCGTACGCGGCCAAGCGCGGCACCAACGCCGCCATCAAGTCGACAAACACTCGGAACGAGCGATCGGGCATCGCCGCCGTCAGAAAAGCTTTCGTCCACGCACTGGTGACCACCGGTTCAAACGATGTCACATACGAGCGTTCTTGGTCGGACAAGGGAGCAAACATGGCGGCTGGAAAGATTGTCCACATGGCCGACAAACACTCGGCAAACGCTGTCACAACGTGCGTTTGGCCTTGGGCCACGTGCGGACTCTCGAGGGATTTGCACAGCGCAGCCAACAAATCCACGTAAAACCCCGTCGTCGCTGGTTGAGTTTTGGGCAACAACGACACGAACGGCAGCAAATTCGACAGCGATGACGTGGCACCGTAGTTGGCATGCTTGGTAGCTGCAATCACCTTGGGCAGCACGACGGGCAGAATCGACGTCCACGACAACGCCTCGTCCAACTTAGCAGCCGACGACAGGTACGTCAGCACCAACGTCCAGGTGGCGGGCACGTTGGCGGCAAATTTCTCTCCTACCACCCCCAGCACGACTTTGGGGTCGATGGCCGACCGGAGAAGTTCTGGGCACGATGTCGCAGCTGCCGTGAGCACGACGTACGTGGCGTGGCGGATGCTAGCCCTAGAAAACGTCGCGCTCTTGGACGTGAGGGTCGTAAACTTGGCCAGACTAGAGAGGAATTGCTGAAAGGTATGGGGGTCGACGTGGGTGGGAAAGATCGAAGAGGATGATGGCTGCAGGAGCAAGGCACGGGCACCCAGCAACGTCGATGTCACACATCGCTCGTAGCTACAAGAGCAGACAAATATATATGTCAAGGTGCCAACTGCTGGAGAAAAGGATATGTCGATTCGATGCACACAATACAATCGACAGACTCGTGGAACTATCGAACCCTTTTAATCGTTTTTGCATTGCTATTTCACAAATACTAGATACCCAATTCAGTACTAAACATGTCTCGACCGGGGATGGATTGGGTGTAGCAGCAAACAAAATGACCATATTTTCTGTAGCATCCACTGGAACCAGGTTCACAGAGTACACGGGTACGCAAAATATAGTACAAGGAGTAACTCAAAGCCAGACATCAAGTCGTGGAATGAAGGAATAGACGGCTACCAAGGAGTGGGCACAGGACAACCAACATATAGGTATTGGAATAATACATAGTAGATAGGTACGTCGTAACAACGCAAACATGTGGTTGTCGGAGGTACGGAATGGGTACAGGATCACACTACGTACCACTCGTCGGCTTCGTCCGGCGTACACAACCCTCGGTCGACCAGCGACTCGACGGTCAATGCCAAGTACGTTTGCACGTTGGTCAGCAACAGATCGGCATGGGCAGCCAGCAACGCCGTCTGGGCCTCGACCGTGGGAAGCAACGCGAGGAACGCCCGCTTGGCGCACTTAGCCGTCTCTGTGTGGACGTCGTGCATGGCTAAGAGGTACCACGGTGGCAGCAGCAGCTGCATGTGGTTGTGGAACACGGTGCCCTTCGGGAGCCGATCGATGAGCGCGCCGAGGACATCGGTGGCGAGCTGGCGGACGCGACGGTCGTTGTCAAGCATGAGCTTGGCGCCGTAGAGGTAGCAGAACTGCCCGACCGCGAGTCGCAGGTCGGCGGGCTTGCGCGATGGAATGAGAGTGTCCTTGAGTGTCGTCAACGCCTTGGTTTTGGTCTGCGCGTCGCGTTTCCCGAGCATTTTGAGCGCGAGAGAGAGCTCCGTGTCGGGACCGTCGTAAAACGAAAACGACGACGTGTTCGATGGCGTCGCGGCAGAGGCTGGGGCGGAGGCGGAAGGCGGCGGGGCAGCCGTGGCAAAAGCCGAGAACCCAATGAAACCCGTGGAGGCGCTGTTGCTGCTGAGGAGGCTTTGCACCGCTCGCGCACTAGAGGACGCATTGGCTTGCGCAAGCTTGTCCTTCTGATTGATAGCCTTCTTGCCTCCCATGTCGTCGTGCTTGGGTCGTTGAGTTGGCGGCGACTCGAGAGTTTACACGACCATCACTCTTGATCCTTCCCTGAACGTGCGGTTGGACGTGGGATATTGCCTAGTCCCAGGACTCCTATTTTAGGATTTTAGGCATGAGGACATCAATTCGGCGATTACTCTTAGCGCAGATGTGCACAAACAGATCTGAGGCGGTGGACAGTTGGGCGATCTTACTGCTCTGTTTAACAGTAAACTTGTGCGCAAAGCTTAAGCTAGATCAGCGACCAAAAAACTACGGCAGGTATAGACTAGTAAACCAGATTCTAGTACTGTATTAATCCGAACCTGGAATGCCTTTTTCAAAAATCCTAATTGATACATTCTACCCTCATATTCCTAGAATTAGGGAATAATCCCAAAACTATCTACAATTGATTTGATTCGCTAGAATCCAGCGAATCGATGACGATATACAAACTCTTCTCAGAGGCCATTGGCTAGCAAACATGCACAGATTCCAGCCAATCAAACCTCGTTTTCCAATCGATTTGCAAGTTTTTCCGCGCGACTTTACTTGCCGACGACGACGAAATGGACTCCAAGATGTACGAGAATGCCGTGTGTCTGGCACCGATGGTGCGCGGGGTATGTGCATGTTCCTGGAGGAAGTCCTCCTGATGCGACGTTGCATGATGGGTTAGGGAACCCTTCCGTTGCGCTTGTTGTCCTTGCGATACGGTGCCGACCTCGTGTATGGCGAAGAAATCATCGACAGGAAAATCGCAGCAACCACCCGCGTCGTCAACGGCATGTCCATATATCCATCACGTCTTGTTATCATAAACATATCCCTGTGATGCCATGTGTCTAGATGTACTGAATACCGTGGACTACGTGACCCGCAACGGCGACAGCGTGGTGTTCCGCACCTGTGCCGAAGAGTCGGCCAAGGTCGTGTTCCAGATTGGCACTGCGTCCGCTGTCCACGCCCTCAAAGCTGCAGAGACCATGTACCACCACTTCCATCCTTCCCTCCATTATTGTTGTCATAATGCATCCTTCCAGCGCCCGGGACGTTGCGTCCGTGGACATCAACATGGGCTGCCCCAAGCATTTCTCCGTCCAAGGCGGCATGGGCATTGCACTGATGGGAAAACCTGAAGTGGCGTCCGACGTACGATACATACATTCTTGCATAGTATGGCGTAACAGTGTCGCATGCAAATCCGACTAGATCCTCAAAACACTCAAGCGCAACCTCAACATCCCCGTGTCGTGCAAAATCCGCATTAAAGCCACTCCACAAGAAACGGTACGATGATATCATCCAATAAATTTATAGTTTTCATGGAAATATTATATATTTCTTGACCAAAACATATATATATCTTTAGATCGACTTTGCCAAAGCCATGGGTACGTTATGTTGTTGACTGTCTAGATAAATATATATATATATCGGCGCCCTAATTCGATTTGGATGTCCTTGTGTAGAATTGTCTGGCGCCGCGGCCATTGGGGTTCATGCCAGGTGAGTTGGCCATAGATACATAGCCATCTACCATATCTACAACTCCATTGATTATTCGATGCACTTTTTATCACTTGTAGACAAGCACATGAACTACCCTCGGATGACGCGCACTGGGACGCCCTTCCGCTGATTCCGTCGGCGCTGTCGATTCCAGTGTTGGCAAATGGAGACATTTGGAACCAAGACGATATTGCTCGCGTCCGGCAAGCAACGGGGTGCCAGTCGGTCCTCGTTGCTCGCGGCGCACTGAGCAACGCGTCTTGTTTTCGCGCGGCAGGCATTGTGCCGTATCAACAAGTACCACGGCGTTGCTCGGAACGTTGCTCATATTATCTTGGCTAGAACGTGGAAGCGTACCTCAAAGTGGCCGCGGACACGGACAACGCATACCAAAACACCAAGTACAACATTAGCCGCATGTTGCCATCCAAAGATGTGGCTTCGACCGTCGACGTACGGTAGCATATATATATATATATTGTCGGTTTACCCAACATTTGGCTGACTTTTGTGCTGATTCGCCCAATTCTATCGATAATCGATTGGTTGTCCTGACTTTTGTAAAGATTCGTCCAGTATCACACTAATTTCAATCACACACTAATTCGATGTTGCCTTGGTCGAAGAGTGGATTTGATTGGGTGGTACTTGTTTGTGTTCTTCGTTTTGATTGGTCAATCGATTGTCTGGCTGCTCATTCGATTGGCCAATTTCGTTGTTTCGAAATTGGCCAATCGACTTGACAATATATATATATATATATTATATAATACATTCGTCCGATAGTTGCTTCGAATTCTGGACTGGATAGGTTGCGACGATCGCCGAAGCCAAGTCGAACGCAGACATGTTTGCCTTGTTTGGGCTGACAGACTACTACCAGTCAGTGCAAGCGGGCTTCCAATCCAAAGCGGCGGCAGCGGCACTCCGCCTCCCAGTGTACATCCCCGATAGAGCGTACGACGACGCCCATATTAAGAACCGCGCGTTCTTCTGCGATCCGTGCGGGGTCCAACTGCTGAGCGCCCAAGACGTGGCGGGTCACGAAAAAGGCAAACGACACAAGAACAAGCTGCGCACGATGGCGAGTCAGGCGATGGCGGCGCTGTCCGGGATGGACACGACGAACTTCTCTACTGCCATTAACGACAAGCACGAGACTGACGACGACCCAGTGCCTAAGCGAGTGAAGCACACGACCGCTGGCACCAACGACGACCAAGTATGAGAAGCACAGGAGACTGCATCGAACGAATGTGTGTGCCACACTGCGAGATTGAAAATCGAACAATAATATATGCGACGACAGCATGTACCCAAAAAGTAAAAGTTTCAGTCATGGCAATAGTAGGTCCATTGATTGATTATATAGCAACTCTAGTCGTAACTACTGTAGAGCAGAGCAGTGGTCGTTGAAAGGGGCGAATTCACTCGCTCAACTCGTACTGTAGTAGTAGTGTTGCTTGTCCATGGTCATACGTGTCTAGTAGTACTAGTACAGTGTATGCTATCGTCTCCGACGATCGTTTCAAGCCCATGATGACGCCACCATGATCCATCAAACTCGAGATGATGATATATCTAAAAATACCATTATTTTTTAGTGATGCAAATTATTGTCAACCGACGACAGGCGTTTCAATGACGATAGAGGTTGTTGCTGGAAGGGTCGGTACAAATATATAAGTTACTTCATTACGTGAAATGCTGGTTCGAGCATCCGTAATTCTCTTTGTGGTGCTGCTGCTGTGTCAGCTGGATCCATGTGCTGGTGATAATACATCGAATGCCAGCAACGCCACGTACTACATTCAATACGACCACGGCATCGAGGTAGCAACGTACGACGGTGGCAGCACCAGCCATCGATTTCGACGGCGACTGGACGTCATTCAATCTGCCAATCAAACGCTCACTAACGCCAACTCAATTGTGCAGGCCGTGATTGGGATGGGCGAATCGCTCAAGAAAAACATCGACACTGTGCTTGCCGACCTCAACGCTATTCAAACGCAAGGGCTGACTTTAGATAGCGGCAACAATACGCTGCACGATGCACAAGCTGTGATTCAGAACGGACTCCTCCTGACTACCCAAGTGCAATCGCTGTTCCTCGCGTCCCAGCCTGCTACTACTGCCATCCCGATCCAAAACGACCCAACCAATGTGCTTTCCGACGTGCTAACAACGAAACGGACACTAGATAGTTTGGTGGGGGACATCACGTCCATCGGCACGTCAGGATTGACAGTCGCTGCCGCCGCCAAAGTCATTGCCAACCTTCAAGTGGCCGTACAAACGGGGCTCGTGGTCGCGAAAGACGGCATCGACATCATCAACGCAGTGCAAAACGTCATTTCCACGGGGGTGTCCATTGCAGAAGGTCAAGTCATTGCCTCGGCCATCCAATTGGTGTTGCAAAAAGGACTGGCAAACTTTGACTTGCAGCCCAAAGTGTGTCGCCGTCAAGCATCGTTTCGCGGGGCCCCGTCCCCCCTCGTGAACCAATGCTTGGCTAGCGAAGACCCACTTGGTCCGCTGTGTTTGCCCAAGTGTCGCACTGGCTACGAGCCTGCAGGATTCGACAGCTGTCGCAAAGTTGGCTGCGCAGGGGGCACATCCGATCTGGGGCCGTGGTGCTCCAAACCCCCGTCATACGAACGAAATGGGTATGCGTTGTGGGACCAAGCCAAATGCAACAAGGAAAAGGGAACTGGTATGTGTGAACAGTGCGCGCTGGTGTGGTACCCAAAGTGCAAACCGGGGTTCCATGCGTTTGGATGTTTCATCTGTACCCCCGACTGTCCCCCCGGTACCATCGATGACGTTGCATTCTGCCGGAAAGACGCCTATTTTCGGGGGGTTTCAGGCTCGCGACTGGGGTGTCCAGCGGGAAAACAGCAGTCGCTTTTACTGTGCTACCCACCATGCCCCTCCACCCACGATGGCGCCGGACCCCTCTGTTCGCCTAAATGTGGGGGCGACACTCCCACCAACTGCGGATTATTCTGCGCGTCCTCAACCGCTGCCTGTGCGGCAAGCGTCGTGCAGATTGTAGGCACGGGGATGCATATGGCATTGAGTGCTATTGCATCGGATTTCACGGGAGTGTTGTCGTCCGCAGTTGTACTGGGGACGAAAGTGATCACGATGGCGCCTTGTGCAGGGTAGGAAAATGGCTTACTAGTACCGGTAGGGTTGATAAGATTACACTAACGTTAGTGTTGTTTGACTTTGTTACAGCTTCATTGGAGAAGCGTCACGCTCGGTCCACGACCTCTCAGGGGGGATGAAGCGCAAGCTGTCGCTGGCTATTGCCTTGCTCGGCGACAGCCAGATCGTGTTTTTGCACGAACCGACGTCCGGGATGGATCTGTACAGCCGTCGAAGCAGTTGGGAGATCATCATAAATAACCGCCAGAACCGCTGAAGAGCGCCGAGTGGACCCTGGCGCCGCGAGCCAGCAAGACGCCGTCGTGATGAACCAGCTCCGTAAAATGTACAAGGACGGCAAGGTGCATCGGTCTCGTTGGGGCTACCCAAGGGCGAATGCTTTGGCTACCTCGGCATCAACAGCGCCGGCAAGACCACGACCATGAAGATGCTCACGGGGGACCTCGTCGCGTCGTCTGGGTCGGCCACGCTCGGGGGCTTTGACATTTTAGCCCAGCAACTGGACGTGCGCCGGCTGATTGGGTACTGCCTGCAGATTGACGCGCTGATCGATTTGCTCAGTGTGCGCGAACACTTGGAACTGTACGCGGCCATCAAGAGCATTTCCGCCATAAACGACACGGTGGCGACTCTGATGACTCAAATGAACTTAGACGACTAGTAGTACTGTAGTAGGAGGACCCAGTAATATTGTACGAAACTGAGATAACCAAAGTTAGTTTTGGAATGGCGACTACCGCTTTGCATATAATGCGTTGTTTGCTTCATATATTATTCCGGTGCTACTATCACTGTATACCCCTGCCACTGCTTTGCAATCTTGCAATCAGCATCCGCCATGAACATGTTGGGGTATCGCGCTTCGTTGAAATGGTCGGGTCGCGGTTCCAACTCAATGTCGAACGACTTGGCGTCTATCTCGAAGGACACACCAATGTACATTTTGGTTTATTATCAATATATACTAGAACTGCCGCTTCGGCACAAGTAAAAGCAGGTCTACAACTACCCTGCATGAGCTCGTTGAATTCGTTCATGAGTACTAGTAGTGTGGACTAACTACAGTACTACTGTACATCCCGCCCGTACCTATTACTGTATCGTAGTTATACACAACGACTTGAATATATCCTCGTTTCAAAAGAGCCCAAGAGACAGTACATATATTATTCCACTTAGGCCAAGTGTTGGGCGTCTGGTAGTCGGGTGAATATTTTGTCGGCCATTTTATAGCTTTTCTTGTCTCCGTCATCGTAAAACACGGCGTGCTCGCGGGTCGTGGGGTTGTAGCTGTTGACAACGCCCGTATACCACTTTTCTTTGGCCCACTTGACGCGCACCTTTTTCCCCACGAGGTCCATCGGGTCGTCGTCGCTGTCGTACATGTCGTCGACGGGGACGGACGCCGACGCCAGCAGCGACCGCAGCCGCGGCACCAGCTTCACAATCGACTTGTCCACGTTCTTGACCAGCGTCGGGTGGGATGTTATGACATCGCGCCATCCGCTCGTGGACTTGGGTTTGGTCAGCAGTGTCCGTTGCGTTTGGAGGTACCCGTCCGCGCCGCGATGCGAGAGCAGCCACTTTTCAGCCCACGACCAACTGCGCTGGTTTTCATGCAGCCACACGCTTACCTACAACCACCAAACAAAAGCAAAAAATAGCATTCGTTAATGTGCATATATACGTGTGGTAGAGTGGCTTGATTTATGGTAACGAGTCGGGTTTCAAGAATGAATGTAATATATATATATATATTCATCCAGAACTCGGTGCCGATGACAGGCAACGGAGGAACCGGTTTTCAAACATGAATATAATATATATATATATATATATTCATTCCGAACTTGGTGCCGACAACAGGCAACGGAGGAACCCAACAATGGGAATATCACATTGAAATGTATGCAATGGTCCTTCAGAAACATGCCATCTTCATGTACAAACTCTAGACAATTATTGAAGAAACATGAGGGTATTCTCGGATAGAATGATTGCAAGTGTATATATATATTCTAGTATATCAGTATATATATATATCTTTTCAAATAGGCAAAGATTCATTTCTCAACATCACGTGGAATCCAAAGTGTGTCGTTTAATTCTATTTCAAACAATCCAATGTGACTACGAAATAACTTCACATGGTACAAGTCAAACAGATTGTGTTTACCATAGTTATATGGCCATTATTCAGAAATATGGGAAAAAGGCAAACATAAATCGCAAAGTAATAGGCAACAGACCTTGGGCACACGTTTGGCCATGCGGAGGAGCATGTCAAGGGTGGTTTCCGTAGCTTTAAAGTACTTTTGCTGGGACGCCATGATTGCAATCAGCCTCGTCATACCCGCCGCCATCCGGTCGGACGCAATCGAGTCGTCCACTGCCAGCAGCACCCGCAGTGTCCGAAAGTACGGCTTGAGTAAATGGTGGTCCTCGTCTTCGATCGCATCTAGCAGGTAATCGAGCCATGCCATCGAGAACTGTGGCGATTCCCAGCACATCGTAGTCACAACCGTCGTCCACGGCGCAGTTTCGGCGCTGTAGCTCGACGCGCGATGGGTGAGCAGACACATCCAGTCGTGCGACGACAATGCGTTATCTGGTTCGTCCAGTGTCGTGGGGAGGTATTGTACACAAGAGGCGGCGGGCAGGGCGGAAGTCACAGAGGGACGTCGGGGCACGTGTTGGAGGACGAGGGCGAGCAGTTGCCACAGGTGCTCGTCGCCAATGAGGACCTTGGGGGGAAGGGGGGGGGTATGGAAAGCATGCTGGAGGCCACTGGGGGGACGCACAAGAAACTCGTCGCCGGTCGGGGGGACAGGTTGAGCGTTCTTCCCAGTGACCATCATCCCCACCAGTTTCGCCACGAGGTGGTGACGATGAACGAGACATGCGCTTGCTTCTGGTCCCTTTCGCGCAAATGCGAGCAAGAGGTCCACAAACGAGTGTTCACACTCTAGAATGTGATCAAACTCGGTCAAGAGCTTGGACATCATTGGCTCACAGCGTGCCACGTCAGCACACATGTCCATCGCTCGCAGTGTCACATCCGTGGCAAATGTGCGCACCGGCTCTTGATCGTGCTCCACCAAAACGTCCACCAGCAGCGTCGGGTGCGTTCCCAGAGTGTATATCCACCACAAACTGCTGGCTTCATTTGTCCCCACCATCGACAGCACCAGCGGCCGCCATGCCAGCAGACGCGCCACTTCACGGCACTGCCACAAAGTCCCAAATACATAAGTAGCAGCCACCTGAAAAGCCAGACTCGTCAGCCCCAGCGTTTCCATGTGGGAAGAGTACTTGTGGCACAAGTCGTACGTGAACGTTGTGCACGCGGCCTCGGCTACGTATTGCTTTCGCCAAAATGATTGGTTTTCCGCGTGGATTGCGTGCCAAATCGACGAAGGGATGTTCGAGGTACTGGTACTACTAGTAGTAATAGGGGCGTGGAGATGAACCCGGCGTTTGAACCGCAGGACTGCCATGATTGCCACACTCGTACCGGCAAACGATCGCTTGTTTGGCGGAGAAAGTTGCTCAGCAACGAGTGCCAACGTGGGTTTCCGACGGGTGTACACGAGCATGAACGCGCTGTGGGTCTTCATACTCGGAGTGTGCTTCCCCGAAGGGTCGGCGACCCCCCCAAAGCACTCGGCAGCCAAGTGTCGAGGGTCGAACGGTGTCACAACAGTGTCGTTAAACTCGTACCAGGACGATGCATGGGGGTCTTTCAAGTAGGCGTAATAGTGACCGGAATGGGCACTACCCATGTGCACAATAGTGCCCGTCAAGTCGTACTGGTAGTACTCTGGCGCCCGCCACTCTATCGATGCATTCGAGGCGTCGATGACGTGGAGCTGTCGACGCGCAGCAGCTTGGCCTTCCTTGGTGTACCTACATAAACATGTGAGTGACCCCACTTACAACTGCTACTAGTACTACTACTACTAGTACTACGTCGTAGCTCCTTTCACAATATATACACATAACAAGACTGGTGTGTGACCATACGAAGAAGGGATACAAACATACATACATACAGTCACTTCAAACCCTTTAAATCCAATACTATATGAACTTTTCAGAGGTATGTATATAGGATGTTTTACCGTCGCATGTCTAGCTCGACGGGAAACTCAAATCGGTCGTGAACTTTGACTTGTTGCATCGTTTCAAAGTCAAATTCAAAGCGTTTCAAGTGCAAAATGAGGCATTCCGGCAGCGTTTGGATGGAAATCCGCTTGTGTGTGTCCATCGCATGCTTGTCGCCGTGGTCGTCGTCGTCGTCCCATGTATAACTCACCTACAATCCCACGAATTGTTAGGGATTCATTCTTCCATACACTGTATATAATATACAAGTCGATTCGACATTGGAGTGCGGTGCGAGCAGTCAATCGATTGACCAATCAAAACCCACAACATGTTTCAACTGGCCAATCACATTATTATCTCACGTCAACCATCCATCATCGAATAACTGGGACTTGTATTTGTGTGACCACTGTTTACATACAAAAATCCGTACAACCAATCGATCGATCAATGGATGTTTGGCAAAAATGAGCACAGAAATATAATCCAGCTTTTGGCGACAAGGACACTATACAAATATACTCTCATTCACTCTTTATCCATTCCAAGACATTAACAAATATATACAGTATATACATATAGTCTTAAGTCGATTTGAATTTGGAGTGGGATGCTCAACCGACCAATCAAAACCCACAACACTGTCAAGTGGCCAATCAAAAACTCCTGCAACACTCAATCGAATCATCCCTGTGTGCCTTCAAATCGTGTACATGGTCGCAGTAATGTTACATACAAAATCTAATACACAATCAAATCGACTAACAATAGATTGGGCACATGAGCACACACTTATATCCACTACAACTATTGGCTACAATCCCAATATATATATATATATATATATATATATACCGTGTCGCCTTCGACCCAGCTGTCGAGTGACTCGACCAGAGTATTTTTATCCCGCACAGTCACGGAAATATAATGAAACGGTTCGGTGCGTTCGCTGTATCGGTTGCCGTCGGCCACCAATTCATTGCTAAAGACTCCTCCGAGGGCCCTTGCAAACGCCGCTTCGACGTCGTGCTGCTTGCCGTTGTTGATCTCTGCCTCCAGCTGCTGGAGAAACGACGTGAGAAACTCGCTCGCGTCTTGCTGCATCTTGACATTGACGGCGGCGCCCGTGTTAGTTTTCAGCACAGACAGCAGGCCCAGTGGGTTAACGTATGGACGGGAGCTGCCGCGGAGGTGCGCGTACAGCGACTGCAGCTGGAACAGGACGGGCGACGACTCGGACTCACACGACAATACCAAGCGCTGAAACGGCGGAAACATAAAACCCATCTGCACGATCGCGTTAAAGTAGCACGTATTCCCGAGGTTCTTGAGCCCGACAAACGGTCCGCGGGGCGTCGTTGGTTGTTTCGGACTCGTCGCCTTGGATGACAAGGAAAGAGAAGAGGAGGTTGAGTGCTTGATATCGATTTTTGGAGGTTTCCGATCAAATGCATGCTGGGGGAGCATGCGAGCCAGCACGATTGGCAGCGCCAATGCTGGAGATACGTCGACACATTGCAAGAGCAATTGAAACGCGGCGGATCGAGAGCCACGGCTTCGGCATTTGGCCAATGTCGTCGTCGTCGATGGTGGAAACAAGCACTTGTCAAACACTTCAACTACCAACGCTGGAGTAATCCACTCGGTATGTGTCGACACTACCTCCATCTCATCCACGTTGCTTGCTTGTTCGTTGCTGGGTGGTGGTGGTGGCTCCATCCAACCGAGAAATGTATGGAGCAGCCCTTCCAGCACATGATCAGCTTCGTCGTCGGGCGTCGTGGCCACCAATTGCAGTCGCGCCAAGAGCCTCCCCATGGCACGTTGACTCTGCTCGTGAACCGAGCGCAACTGTTTGTCTTGTTGCTGTTTGGCGACAATGTCTCCGTACAAGTAAAACAAATCACCGTGGGTCACGGGGCCGTCGTACGACCCCAACAGTGTCACACAAGACGGCACCAACACCTGCCACGACGACGGGTTCAACGTGCTGTTGCACACGCTTTGGACTGTCTTGGCAGCTTCCCCGCGCACCCGCGACGACGCATGGTCTAATGTCCCCACCAACACTGACTGGACATGTGGATGCTGCTGAAATGTCGTAGCCAGACTCGTCTTACGATCCACAACAAGTAGTTGGCACACCAACGACAATGCATGAACCAACGCTAGTTCACACACAGAGTCGGGGTTGTCTAGAAGGGGAGCTGGCGAGTACACGACCCGCTGCGACGACGTGCCAGTAGGCCCATCCGTTGCGGATACCCCCGTCTGCGATGCCGTGAAAGTTGTTGTTGGTAGTAGCTGCTGGCTAGAGAGGATGACATGTGCAATGTCCAGCACGTTGCACAGCACCATATCCCACACTCCAGCATCGTTATCGGGCCACGTCACTGGATTGGCGTCAACATGTGGCTGCAACGCTCGGTCCAGTGTGGCAAACATGAGCGACCAGCCGTGCCATACGAGCAGGTTCTTGGCACTGGAGAGGACGGCAGTATGGTGCAGCAGCACCTCCCGCACATGGATTGCCACGTCCGGTGCCACTACCTTTGACGGCGGATCATCCATTTGAAAGATGAGCGTCGGCAGCGACGTTGAAAGGACAGACGACGACGGGGATGGCTGACGGGGGAGCCGCGCGAGGACGCGCCACACAGTGTCGCACACGGCAGGGTCCTCCAGCATCTCGAGCAGCGACGGTACCCACGTGGACGCCAGGTACGTCGCGACGGCGGCCCAGTCGGCGGCCGCGTCGCCACGGAGGAGCTTCGCTTTTTTGGTCGACTTTTTGTGTCCGGCCGTGTCCACTTCAGGTTTTTTCAACACGATCGCTTCGACATACGCCTTCTTCTTCTTGGACGACGTCACAGTTGCAAAGATAGACACGTCGTCCAGCGTTAGTCCATCGTGTTGTGACACGGTTAGCTTGACCTTGGTATCTGTGAGCAGCCGAATCCTGTCGGCAAAATGCCCAACGTCGGCCGCAACTCGATCTCGAAGCTCCCCCACTAGACACGTTCCTGGCAGCGAGTAGTTGAGCGGCGCACTGGTCCGTCCGTCCTGCATCTTGATGTACACCATTAGGTCGTTGGAGACGACGGCCACGTCCGGCACTCGCCCGCTTTGGGGGTCGTCGCCGCCGCCCCGCCAGCCCATCGGTTGTGCGTGGTATAGAAACATGGCGAGCAGCTCCAGCAATCGTCGAGCAACGCTAGTTTTGGCCAATGACATGGCGTCGTACACGTGGGACATGCACCACACGGCAAACTGGAGCCAAATGTCTCGGCGCGAGTGCTGTTGTTTGGACGTTGCAGAGAAAGTTGCTGGCGACAGATGCAGCAACAGGTACACAAGGTACTGCTGCGCCGCATCTGCCACTGCGATGACGTGGCACGTTGTGGCAATGGCCAGCAGCGTGTCGTACCCGTGCAAGTCGGGCAGCGGCACATTCACTGAAAAGTCGTCGGGGAGATGGACGTCCGACAGGTTGCGGTAGATCGCGCCATTCACATACCGGAATAGCCGCTCAAAGCAGTCAAATTCCACCGTGTCCATCGCAGAAGGAGTCGAGAATTGGTGGGCAAAGATGGCTTCGACATCGTCCTCGGTGAACGCGCCGTTGCTGACAAACTTGTCGGGCAACACAGCCATAGCTTGCGACGTTTCCGTACACTTTGGAAGGACGTCGGTCAACCAGGCAAAGTACATTTGCATACGTCGACTCGTGTGCAATGATCTGTACAGTGCGTTTATATGAGCCTTGTCCAGTGTTAGTCCCGATGAAGTGAGTAGAAACCCCAGAAACGCCAGACACGGAGCGGTAGAAGCAACCCCCCCCGTCCGAACGACGGCGACCACCACGTCCACCAGTTGGTACGTCGTGACTAGTTCGTCGATAAACGGGTGCAGCGGGTGCAATTTGATGGCATTTTTGATCGCCGAAGCTTCCACGGAAGACGTCACACGACTCAAATCCACTTGGGTACGTACATATCCTTCAATGATCGCTTGCAAAACGCGCAGCGCCAGCTCCACGGGCACACCAATATCTCGTTCATGTTGGTGCGGCGCCGCCGCCAGCGCGCGCACACACAGTTGAATGTATCGTTCTCGAGTATTGGGAGCTCCATCATGCATGTGATGAGTAGCTTCAATCACGTGCATTTCATGGAGCAACGTGGCGAACGCCGTGATAAACTCTTGATGCATAGCATGATGGGGGGCTTGGGTCGTGGCTGTCCAGAGCATGTCGACACCCAGCGCCGCCACCTTGGTGAGCGTGGCGACTTCAACCGCCGCCTTTGTTCGGGCTGAGTGTGCTTTTCCGTTGGCGAGGCGGGTGATTCGAGTGAGGAAATGGATGGTCAGGCCGTCGTAGTCGGCGAGGGGGATCGTGTCATGCAAGAGTCGAGCGATGGCGTCCAAGAGCGGAATGTTCATGGACGATGCCAGCTGCAGCAGCATCTCGTACACGATCTTGCGCCGCGTCGTGTGCTTTCTTCCGAGGTGCCACAGCAGCGTCAGGTGCGTTTCTGTGAGGAGTCCGTGCTGGGATAGCAGCGCAAGCAGCGGCGTACTTCGTTTCCATACTTCCACATGGGCGTCTCGAACGACAGATATTGCCGGGGTGACGGCGGTGGGGTCGCCCAATAAGAGCTCGAGCACGTTGGCGCGGCGGAGCCAGCGAGCCAACGCCCCCGACGTGAGCCATCTCGCCCTCGACGGGGTAGAAGACGACGAGATGGACGACGAGATGGACGTGGGAGTGGTGACAAATGTAGACGCTGTTTTTGTGATCAACGAGGACAACCGTTGCAACGACCCGACTCGTTTCGTGGCGGACGTTGTCGCAGACGGATGGGAGGCCAGATGGTCGTCCAGGGCCTGGGCTTTGGCTCGCCACTCGACCAACTGGTGGATACCCGTGAGCTGGTGCGATAGCGACCGACAGCTCACGTACTGGTACGCCATGTTGATCCGTGTAAGTTCCAGTCGCTCGTCAAACGATGTCGCATGCAGCAGCCACGACGACGACGACGATGAGATCAAGGCATCGATTCGATCGAGCACGGATTCCACGACCAGTTCAAGGTCCTGGTGGAGGTCGGCGGGGGTGACTTGGTTGAGGCGATCAAAGGACGCATGGAACAGCCGCGTGAGCACGTCGACGTCGGCGTCTGTCGGCATTAGAATCGGCTTGGCATGCCCGAGCAGCGTCAGGTACATATCTAGCTCGGCCAGCGGCACCAACACTCCCCGTTCGTTCGATGCTCCTGTTTCACGTTCCACCCGCCGTAGCATGGCGCGCAACCCGCCAGCTTGAAGAAAGTACTCGATGTTTTCCACAAAGTAGACGCTTCTGCACGGTGCCAATCGGGGCACGACTTGGCCAGCAGGTGCCATGTCAAAGTACATTGTGTGCTCGAAATCGTCTAGGCGTTCCCAGTGCGCGGCGTGGCCATCGGGCTGGTAGAACGCGCTGCACACGTCGTAGCCGTTGCAGAGCAACTTGATCAACGCGACGACTGCGTACGGATACACTGGCGGCGGAATCATCGAGTCGTCGTCGCCGAGAACCGCGGCGACCCAGTGCTTGAGGCAGTTCTGGAGAAATGCCTGCATCGCCCTCGCCGTGTCCACATCTCGACATGGAGATGCCATGCAAGTTTCGACAAACGGTACCAAGCAGCTCTGAAAGTACACCAAGTGCATATCAAAGAAGGATTCGTCCAGCGTTTGGTGGATGGCTTCAATGTCCGCGGGCACGAGCAGCCGCCGCATGGACGTCGCACGGAGCGTCGGGTACGCCGGCGACAGCGTCAAGTTGGTGTGGGAGCCTAGCGGGGCCACCTTGGCTCGCACTTGGGCTCCCAGCACCACCAGTTCCTTGTGCGGGGCTCGGTATTGGGGGAGCAGCAGCACCAGCGCTTGCGGCGGCAGCAACCGTGAGGGGGTGACGCTCGTGTTGGCCTTCACTTGCGAAGCTCGCCACCGAGGGGAAAGCGCGGTAGAGGTCGAGTCCAGCACGTCCACCCACGTTCCAACGGCATATCGCGACAATGGACTCGATGAGGCGGCGACGGCGGCGGCTGTCGTGGCCTCGAAATCGTCCACGTCGGCACGGGTGGCGCGCTTGAGACAAAGGCGGTGGTGCGAGAGATGGGCATGGATGGATGTCAGGAGGTGTTCAGACGTGGGATTGGGATCGTCGGAAGCGGCGGGAGGCTGCACGACGTTGACCCATTCGAAGGCGGCAAGGGACGATGATGGTACAGTGTTGTTCGACTCGATGAAAGCAGAGTGCTTGGTGGTGCTGCCGGGTATGTTGTCAATACGCAGCTCCTTGATGGGCAACAGTACCTTCGCATCGTCGTCGTCGACGAATGTGGAGTACAGTAGATACATCGCGGGCACGTCTGTGGAATCTGCGGGTGATGTCGATGCCGGAGTAGTCGTAGACCGAACGATCGGCTTGGGAACCATGTCGTACCCATCGACTTGGTGCGTGTGAATAAGCAGAGCGCGCACTGGCGGCAACACGTCGTGGTCTGGAGCTTGCAACTTGTACCATAGGTACGTCTGCGGCGAGATTTCGGCGGCGGCACCTTCTGCATTGGTCACACGATGATACCCTGGTGGTGCCAGCGCTTGTCCATATGTGACTTCAAATCCAATGATCCACATGGTTGGTCCGTGTAGCAAGCAGCAGCTCCAGCGGCGATGTCGGATTACGTTGGTCTTATTGCGTGTTGTTGAGACAACAAACAAAAGATATTTTATTCTCACAAAAAGCGAATAAAAATTGGGCTCATGAAATTAGGATTGTATTTGATTTGGGTATACCTATCGTGAACTACATGCAGAGAAATGTGATAAAAATATGGGATAAAACCAAATTCCAATCCATTTGTTTTTTTGCACGCAAGTCCTGCCCCAATGCCAATAATACAACGATTTGATTGGCTATTTTGAATTCCAAACTCAGAAAATTGACCAATCCGATCGCAGGGATTTTCGAGTTTACCGCTTCGTGGATTTCAAACATCCTCATCAGCATTGCGATGGACGAGTTCGACCGCGAGGGGCCGCTCTTTGATGGAAAGGTGCGGGTGCTTGTGCAGCAACCCGAGCGCGACGAACGTCATACGCTCCTTACCGTGCGCATGCTGAACGGCCAACGGGTACGTCCGTATGAACTCTGTGGCCATATATGTAGACGAAGCCCTCATTGGTGTGGCAGACGCTGAACAGCAACCAAAAGGAGCGCGTGCTGCGCATCGAAGTGACAGACGACGAAGAGCTCGAGACGTTCTTCCTGTACGTGTGGAGTGTGTCGGAAGAAGAGTTCCATGACCTCAAGCACCAGCAACGCCTCCTCGTGGACTTTCCCAAGTTTGCCGCCAACTTCATGGACCTGTTGACTTGTTGCCTTGCGAAACCCACGCTTCTCCACGAGTCTTCGTCGTCCCATCGTCCAGAAGGTCAGGCGCCGCTGAGCTACTTGGCCGTGCTCAACACGCACGACGTGGCCGGCCACAGCACGTTCAGTATCGTCGAGACCAACGCGTTCAAGCGCTTGACCCATCTATCGCTGCAGTTTACGCCTGGCGACGACGCCGAAGTCAAGCTGTACCTGGCCGCTCGCTTACGACAGACCACGGTACTACCACCATGATCACATCCACCTATGGCTCAATCTTCTTGACGATTAGCACGAGAAACGAAGGCTTCAGGACGACTTGATGTCAACCACCGCCGACCTCGACGCTACGAAAGCGTCCGAAGCGGCGCTGCAGACCCAAGTAGACCGTGCCATGCAGCAGCATGCCGAGCAATTAGGGTCGGCCAAGATGGCCGCGTCCGAAGCCATGACGGCACAGGTCTCGCCATCATACCACACATATACGACATTATTATTTATAATGTATCTTCGAACATCATTATTATGCCAAATAGAAAGAAGCCGCGCTTCAGACTCTGCACGACACGGAGCGCATGTACACGACCAAGCTGGAAAACCTTCGGTTGTCGTCGAAAGAAGAGGTAGGTACTGTGTGTTGTCGTTTGATATACATATATATAAAAATATGTATATTCGATCAGATCGAACAACTGCAGCATAAACTGGCCGAGACCGAATCGGCGCTACAGTTGCTGCAAAAGACAAAATACCAGCATGAGACCAATATCGCCACACTTGAGAGACACGTGGCAGCCCTGGAGGACACCAATCGCCTCAACAGTGTCGAGCTGCAATCCCTCAAATCTCAAAATAAAGCACTGGACCAGGACGTGTTTACCAAGGTAAGGAGAATGGATGTACTACTAGTATATTGTGGTCTTTCGAGTGAAATTTCATGGTGTTGTGGCGTGAATTTTAATCGATTTGATTGGCTACCTCAGATGAGCTCAACATTATTAGCCAATCAAAAACGTCTCAATGAAATTTAACAACCAATCAGATCGATTGTGGATCGGTTTGGGCGGCGCGATTCGTTTGCACCCCCAAATATTTGTATATCAAATCGACAATGGTATCTGTCATACCTTTGCACCATGAACAATGTATTTAAATATTCCATTAAGAATATACATTTTGCGATTTCATATAATAAGATAGTTGTTATACTTCGTGGTGCAGATCAACGACAAATACGGTAGTATATATATAGCTGTACTGGACTGGATTGCATAGAGTGTATGTGTCGATCTAGTAACACATAACAATCGGAAATGATAGGAAAAACTGCTCACCCAGAACGACTTGCGCATCGCTGCCCTTCAGCAACAGGTAATGTCAAACATATATATTTATTTATTGTGGATATATATATATTATAGTGGTTGATCATGTATGGATGGCATAATAATATACATAGAATTCAACTGGATAGTTATGTATATATGGGAATGTAGGTGGCCGACAAGGAAGATGTGATTGCAAAATCCACCGAGTTGCTCCAAGCGTCGACAAACCACAAGGTACTCCACTTTGAATATGTTTCTCGTATTTCCACATATTTTATCTGACTGAATATATATATATGTATGTTGCTAAACAACTAGCTCGAGATTGAAGAAACGCTGAAAATGTACAAGGCCAACAACAGCACGATGCAGCAAAAGCTCGAGTTGAGCATTTCCGAGATCAACAAGGTACTATATCGAGTTAACGCATTATTTCATATTTATCTATATCCATTTAAATATGTATATATATATATATAACCATTTTAGATGTATAAATATATTAATTAGTACATTTATTTATACATCTGGTAAGATTATAACCATTCTGTAGGGAAATCAAATCATCCAGCAAATCCACCAGGAAAACCAAGCGTTCAAGGCCAAAATGCGCATGAAGTCGAAAATCTTGAAACAACAGGAATTGGTACGACGAACGTATATATGGGATATATATATATATATATA